CTGTGAAAAAAATTCATACTTTTATCTATTTATTTATTTTTGTTTGGAAATTAATTTCTATAAATTACGGCTTGAAAATGCCTTTCGAACTCTTTAAAAATATCTTTGAAAATTATGTTTTAGAATTCTATTTTACGAACAAATTACTAAAGGTATAAAATTCATCGCAGAATTAAATTCCTTAAACGAACTTTATATTGAACATTTTTCAATGTGTTCTTTTCTGAATTTCCCCAAAAAATTCAAAAAAAAGTATATATTTTTTACAGATTTTTTCCATCGAAATTTATACAAAAGGGTTTTTTTTTGAATTTTCAAACGCGAAAATATTTATTACGAATTTTTATAACTTTTTTGTGCAATAGAGATAGATTTTTCTGCGCGATTCCAATATCGGTTGTTAGAATTACTAAATTAGAAAGTTGTTATTCTACTATTCTTTTGGAGTTATTCCGAAAACATTTTTTTCTAACATTTTCAAATTTATTATTCTGCCTCTTTAGTTAAAGTGCTTATTCTATAGGCCTCAGATTTCATTGGAGTTTGAGATTTCGAAAACAATAAAATTTATTCATTTTTTTGTGTTTCTTGCAAAGAATAATTTAAAAGTTATTATAAAATCTTATTATTATTTTCCTTAAATCTATTTTTACATTTACAAGTAATAAAAAATTGTTTTTGTACGCCAAAAATATAAAAGCCCGGACAAAGTGTAGACTTCCTCGCGACATGGTAAAAAATATACTCTCAAAAATATGTATATATAATTAAAAATATAAAACACACATATAAAATTTCGGAAGGTTAAAATTTTATATAAAAGAAAAAAAGGAATAATCCAAAAAAAAATAATAATAAATTTGTGTGTTCGACTCATTTTCATATTGAAAGCACACAAAACCAAATTGTGCATTTTTGAAAATTTATACAGCACTGCGCATGAGTTGCAAACAACACAAAGGCTAAAACATCTAAGAAAACAAGAAAAGGAAAAACATAAATTACAACAAATACAAAAAAAAAGTTTTTAACCATAAAAAATTCAGTTAATGCGAAAATTGAACAAAAAATTTTAGTGGCACATGCAAGAAGAAGTGAGTAAACCAAACAATCGAAAATAAATACAGAAGAGAACAAAGTTTTTTTTTTTTTTGGAAGAAAACTGTTCCAAAAATATGAAAAAAAGTCTCAAAAACAAAAATCGTAAAATATTTTTAGGCCATTGAGCCCCTAACATAGCAAGGGAAGCGTAAACTCAGCAAACAACAAATACAAAAAATTAGTCTCACACCCCCATACATATAAATATATACAAATACAAAGGTAGCAACTACTAAAATGCAAAAAGAAAATTAAAACCAAGAAAATAAAAAAATAAATATTACAGCAAACAAAAAAATGCATATCATAGTTGTAAAAAGGAAGAGAAAAATTCAAAAATTTTCGAAGCAACAAAAAATATTTCTCATTATTATTATTGATTATTATTATAATTATTAATATTATTAGAACAGGCAATTTATACTGCTGAAGAAATTGAGCAAACAAAAATAATTGAGCGCATAGGCGGTAGGTGGGGTTTAAAGAGCGGAGAAAGAGTAAAAATTAGAAAGAAATATATAACTATTTATAAAAGTTGGTGAAAAAGCGTGCAACAAAGTTAGAGGGAAATTGATAACAAATTCACTGCAATAAAATAATTTGAACAAAAAAAAATCCCAAAAATATATACACTTAAAGCATCTTTAAGTGCGTACGACCGAATATAAACTGATATGCGAAGCAACAAACAATTATATATGATAAAAAATAAAATAAAGTAAATATATAAAAATTATATATATTATATAAACCAACTGCTTAGTAGCGTAAACACCCGAGACACACAGATTTTTTCCAAAGCAACAGGACATAATAAATTAAAAACAAAAATATCAGAGCCAAAATTCAATGAAAAACAATTTAAGAAAGCGAAAGCGAAATCACACACTGCGTTCGAAAGTGTGTGTGAGTGTTTAAAAAATTGGCGTTGATTGTAAATTACATACAATGTACTACAGTGAGTTGCAGTGTATAAAAGCAAGGCAAAAATATTGCAAATGAACAATACAAAATTAAATTATACATATATATTGCAAACACACATACACAGAAGAAAAACTAACACATATTGAACAAATATAATGAAGTAAATAAAATAACAATACAAATATTTAATGAAGCAAACTGAATGATGAAAATTATAAAAATGAACAAAATAAAATACAACAAAAAATTTATATCATCACGCATTTTTATTGCATATTATGGCTCGAAGTTCTATGAATTTTACTTTAAAAAAAATTTTTAATTTTCCATTTATTGCAAAGAGAAGCAATTTTTTCTCGGCAGAGTCTACCAACAAAAGACAATTCAACCATTTTAAACAGGGAAAGTCATGATGAAGATATTTTGAGTCAACGAGTAACCCACACTTTTTAACCCATATTTTTCATTGAAAAATGTGCAAAATGAGTTCCAAACTTGTGTTGAACTTTTTTCCTTCTCCTGCAAATTTATACAAAGCAAGGAGAAAAATTATTCAAAATACTTTATTGTAAAAGCTCTTTGTTGCCACGATATATTTTAATATACAAAATTTTTAAATTAAAAAAAAAATATTTTTAGTAAAATGACTCGTGATTCTAAAAAATATTTACTTAAAACATATTTTTAACGCTGCATTTCTAAGAAATCGGAATTGTGTTCGGCAATTCTCAGAAAATTGTAACTAATAAATTTCATAAATTTCTTTCAAAGAATTATCAGCCCTAATTCAACTTGCTGTTTCCTAATTATAATATTCAAAATTTTAAAATTCTCATACCGGCTATTAGTTCCATTTTTCCACCGTAGTTAGTAATATATATATCGAAATTGAATCGGCCTAGCAAGCATATTTTTTGATAATGAAAAGTTTATTTATATAGGTTTCGTGTGGCGTGATCGTTATAACTATATATATATAAATGTATTTATTTTTATCTTAAATATTTATTTTTATTTTGTTTTATCTTTTTTGATTTATTTAATTTTTTATTATAATTTATTTTATTTTATTTATTTTATTTTATTATATTTTATTTCACTTTATTTTATTTTATTTTATTTTATTTTATTTTATTTTATTTTATTTTATTTTATTTCATTTTATATTATTTCATTTAATTTTTTTCATTTTCTTTTAGTTACTCTTATTTTTTATATTTTTGTGAATTTTTTTATTTTTTATTATTTGTTAATTTAATTAAAGTATATTTAATTTACTTAATTTTATATCTTGTCATTTCTTCAATTTTACATGATTTTATTACATTTTAATTTATTTTATTTCACTTTTTTATTTTATTTATTTTCGCCATTTAGTTCCATTTTATTTTATTTTGCTTCATTTTATTTAATTTAATAATTTGTTTTAACATGTTTAATTTTACTTTCTCATAATATGTTTTATTTTAGTTTAAATTTTAATTTGTTATTCTTTTTTATTTTACTGTATTTTTTTTTTGCTTTTTATAGATAAATTATCCATTTTTTAATTGACTTATATTATTATATTTAATTAGATTTTTTTGTTGTTTTCATTTTATTTTTTTATGTCATTTTATTTTTCAATGTTTTATTTAAATTTATTGTACTTTATGATATAATTTAAAATGAAATAAATATTTCTGTGAAGTACATTTATTATATATTAATTAATTTTTTTCATATTTATTTATAATATGTGATTGTATTTATTGTTTGTAAATTTCTATTATATATTATATAAATTGCTTTATTTTATTCGATATTATTGTTTTATTCCATTTTTTTATTTTATATTATTTAATTTTTTTATTTTTTTTATTTTACTTTATTTTAAATAATTTTATTTATTTTATTTTAACTTTTTTATGTTATTTTTTATTATAATTTTTAATGTTTTTTATTTTGTTTATTATATTTTTCATTGTTTTATTTAATTTTTTCATTGTTTTATATGGTTTCTATATATTTTATTATAGTTTATTTTATTATTATAATATATCATTTTAATTCTTTATTTGATTTTATTTTGCTTTTTATTTTAAATTTGTAACAGTTCTTTCATCTTTTGGATGGGTTTTAATTCCAATATATTCCCCATTGATCCGTCGCTGTAGAGCGATACTTTTTCTTTGTGTCGGATATAACCGAAGAGCGTTCTATCATAACCGATCCAATTCGGTTATTTTGTGTTGTTATTATACATGTTATTTTGAGAATCGGTTACAAAATAATGATGCCAAATTAGTTTCCATCCCTAGCTTATCACAAGTAATGTCTATATCGGTCAAAGCATCTTTGATTTTCGGTATATTTAAACCAAAACAAAATTCTATATGTTAACTAATACACAAATATCTGTAAACAAAGCAACAAATACAAGAAAATGAAAATAAAACGTAAAAAAAAAAATTTTTAATTTTTTGCATGCTTCTTCTAGCTGAATTACATTTCTCTAATTGTTTTAAAAACTGTATGTAATCTTTATATGTAATCATTTAATTGTTTGTGTGCCTCTTAAGTGTTTTTCAAGTTTAAATGTTTAAATGTGTCGGCTATGCAAAAACCACGGTAAGCTAATTTACAACAAAAAAATCATAAGACTTTTCAGCCCATAAATTAGATTTTTTATTTGTAGAAAATGCAGCAAGAACACTAAACTTACTAGAGAATTAAACTAATCTAAATTAAAAAAAATTTTAATGCACGAAATTCAAAAAAAAAAAAATTTATTTGAAAATACATGGAAAAAATTGCAGTTTTCTAAAATATTTTTTTTCTTAATTTTTTATTGAAACTCTGATTAGCATAGAAAAATTGCAAAGTTTTCAATTATTTTTGGTTCGCATGCCTTAAGGCCTTTTTTCCAAAATTCATATCTCTATACTACATAAGTATATATTATTTAGTAACATAGTATCGCCCTAAGTGCTGCTAATCTATCGCTAATCTGAATCTTTCTTCTTCCTTCTTTTCGTAAAGCTCTTTCGTCACTTCAACTCACCATTCGGCGCCATGGGAGGTAGTAGCAATAACACCGCCGCATTAGCTGCAGCACACTGCCCCACGCCGTTCACCTTTCCCTTCACACCGTTCGGTCTGAGTTTGTTCGACATCGATCCGTCCAGAATTTTGGGTATGCTGCGTCACCAGACTTGGCTGGCCGAGGAGGCGCTGAAGTAAGTTGACAATTATAAATCGGGTTCCGATCACCTATTGAATGTATCCCTTCTCTTCCAAGCAGAAATCGCACCTTGTTGAACACATCTAAGGACTTTGCCCACCGTTTCAATCCCATTGGTGAGTTGTTCGCCAAGGATTTCCATCCGAATCATTTGAATGTTAATACTGCCGATTTGCTTGCTGGCGTAGCTGGTGTGCCCAATAATCAGGCGAGCGCTGCTAGCCCAGCCAAGCAAACAATATCACCGGGCGAGCAACAACAGCAAACGCGACCACAGCAACAGACCGAGCGTCCGCAACAGCAACAGTACAAACAACAGCAACAGCAGCCACAAACATTCAATGTGCGTTACCCTTCGCCCGCCGCTTTTTTCCATCATCAACAACAGCAGCAACAACAGCAACATCTGAAGCAAATGTCAAGCCGTCAAGGCACACCATCACCTCACGCTACAGCCAGCTCAACACAAACGAAAGCAGATGCCACGCCCACACGTCACAGCGACTTAGCGGACGCTGATTCCATCATAGAGCTCACCACTCACGACGAAGCACGCGATAGTGGTCGTGAGAGCGCTGTACATACGCCCAACAACAGCAGCGGTGGCACGTCTAGTGGCCTCGGCACCTCGACAAGCGCTACGAGCAGCGTTGCACTGAGCAGCACCACCTGCTCGCCACTACTCTATAAGGAGTCACTCGAACAACTGTTGCAACGTCGTCGTTCCGGCTCCTCGCTCGGTGGCGCCAGCGACAGCTTGCGTCCATACTCACAATTGTTTCTCTCCTCGAGTACACCCGGTTGCACCGACACGTCTAGCTGTAAGGAGAAAAGCTCCTCATCTTCTACCTCATCAACACCACCACCCACCTCAACGTTGTTGGCCCAACATCAGTTGCTGAGCCAACGACTGAATAGCCCATCGGAGACGTCGTCACTTTTTGGCGAACCCATCGAAGAGGAGACACGTTGTGTTGTCTGCAATGCACACTTTCCGAATGTGTGGCTATTGGAGCAGCATGCAGCACTCCAACATCCACACATCGGACCAGGCGAGGAGAAACCGTTTATTTGTGAGCAGTGCGGCCAATCGTATCGTTATCGTTCTGCTTACGCTAAGCATAAGGAGCAAAATCATCGCGCTCGCTTGCCGGCCGACAAACTCTTCACGTGCGACGTTTGTGGCATGCAATTCCGTTATTTGAAATCATTCAAAAAGCATCGCCTCAATCACGCGTTGGAGCGCTTGCACGGCAAGAAGAGCGTGATGGCTAAGCATTGCATCGGACCAATGCATCCCATGTTGGGCGAACAGGACGTGGTGACGAGTTCTCAAGAGCCAATGCCAGCCGATGAGGGTGGTGAGGATTTGCGCATCAATGTGAAACGAGAACAGGACGACGACGAGCGTGAGCAGCGTGACCGTGAAGATCAGGACTGTACCATTGACTCGGCTGGCATGATAATGTGCAAAGACAACAACTCGTCGTTGACTATGGCCACAGCTAGTGTTGTCGAATCGAGCATAAGCAGCTCAGATGGAATTCATAGTACAAATAAGGGGGTGAGTAGGGGGCATCAACTGTATTTTGAAGTTTTCTTTTTTTTCATTATAAATCTTATTAACTGTTATTCTCGTTTACCATAGCCACGCCTTCTTAACACACCACAAATGGAAACGGATCCCTCCTATCATCATTTACAACGCCATCCACAGCATCCACATCCACATCATGTGCAGCAAACACATCAACAGCAACAGCAACAACAGCCGTTACCACCACATTTGCACGGCAATGTGGCTGGTACATCATTGCCACCACATCCACATCAACATCCACATGCAGCTTTGCCACATACACATCATCCCCACGCTCACCATGCGCATCATGCTGCCGCCTCAACACTGAACTCGTTAAACTCACTCAACTCAATTACGTCGTTGATCAATGCCGAACGCATACCGAACGAACAATTCCTGGGCCTCAACCCACAAGAGGCTTCAATACTCAACTTTTTGCGTGTCGATGCTGCGGAGCGTCAGCGAGATAAGCGGTAAGTATGAATATGTGTGAAGATTTGCTAGATTTTATACTGTCCAGAGGGGGAGAGAGAGGACTCTTAAGGAGCTGAGCAGAGAACGTGCTCTCTAGCGTTCTAGAGCTAAAAGCCAGCTAATTACAAGAACCTTGTAAGATCGATTACGCAGAAATTCGTCAAGTTTCCCCATTCTAAGACTCCAAATGGTGTATCCCCATGGACCGTACCAAAGTATAGTTCTTTTGACTGAGAGCCTGCTTGTACCTCTAATGTATTCCATGTCCTAAGACGATAATTCAGTTCAATAGACATCAATGATTGGCGGAAGATCAAGAACTCGAATTCTGGCATTCAAAGTTATTAAAAAAATATTTTAAAAACATTGTCATTCTTCGGTGGGGAACATCAACACTTCCAAGAGTATTCCTTTTACGAAATAAAAAGCTCTTCGTAAAAATCAATTCGCATCAAAGTGACCATTTTTCAAAAGAACTCTTGACTTCTCCATTTTTTGGAAAAACATCAAAGAATCGTTGTTGGTAACTTACCAGTCAGGTCGGCCGGTCGTAAACTATGCTACTCCAATCTGGCCGAAAATTAGCGGTACGCAGATGAAGAAGACGCAAGCCTACCAAATCACCGTCCTCAGGTCCGTGACAGGCAATCTTCTGATGCCGGCAGAGCATCACTAGCCCAGCGAATCATCTGTGCTACGAGTTAAAGAGTATAATACTTTGCTGTGCAAGTAATTTTTGCTGGGATGCAATTGTAGGGAACACCCCAACAGACACTTACTAGAACCTAAACCCTCACCCCGCCCCCGCAGCATGGAAGCACTAGACCTTAAGCACTGCATTATGCAGCACATACAACAACCGCTGGACAGGACGGCTTACCGATAGGCATTAAACTCGATTTACCGTGAGTCCGCCAGCACCTTCCAAAACTCTCTTCCAGCGAATGGCGTTCTCGGTAGTAAAAAATTCTCCTATTACAGAGCGTTTTCCAGGCGCAAATTTGATAGGATATTCTAAGAAACTAAACTCCTTCTTATCCAGACTGGACTCTGGCATACCCAACGTAAACTTGCATGCAAAGTGTCCACGCACGAAACTAACCACTTCTTTGCATGCCCCCTGAAACCAACATCTCTAACCCCGCTCTCCTTCTGGTTCGAACCCGTGAAAACAGCTCGATTACTAGAACTCTCATTAGATGATCTGCTCCTAACTGCTATAACAACACCAACAGAGTAAACTAAAGATCCAACCCCACAACTACTTTAGTCTTAAAAGATCTGCACATTCCATAAATATTTTCCCTTGACTAACTCCCTCTAACCTGCAATTTTCTAGCCCACAAACCTCACGTTTTGCCTGCCCCTTCTGCGGCAAATGCGTACGCTCCAAGGAGAATCTAAAACTGCATGTACGCAAACACACCGGCGAACGACCCTTCGTGTGCCTCTTCTGTGGACGTGCCTTCGGTGGCAAATCGGATCTCACACGTCATCTGCGCATACACACCGGCGAACGGCCGTATCACTGCGAATCCTGCGGCAAGTGTTTCGCTCGCGCCGATTATCTATCCAAACATCTAACCACACACATACACAATGCACCACGCTGAGATGAGGTGCGAAGGAGACAACGACTCCTTCGCAGATAATAGAATGAACCGGCAAGGGAGGAGTTCATGTTGGAGCGTTGTTGGTGGTGGTATTGCTATGTGGCAGCCAATGCAGCCGCCGCCGTCACTGCCACTGCCACTGCCACAACCGCAACAACAACGACGACAACAATGGAAAGCTGTGCTATCGAACAACAACAAGATGATGCTGCGCAGCCGGCAGAGGATGCGGAAAAGAAATCAAAAGAAAAAATGTAGATAAATAGTAAAAAGTAAATAGTGAAAGGAAATGGTGAAAGGAGGAATTAAAAGGGATATTGGGTGAATTTGAAAAGTAATATAAGATACCAGGAGGTGGCACAAAAAATGTGCAAAAATTAAGAAAACAATCATGTGTTCGAAAAAAAATATGTATGTAAATATGTGCTCACGATAAACCTAATAACAACAACAAAAAGAAGTAAAGTGTTAACCGAGCTGTATACAAAACTGTTTACATTTTTGTTATAAACTTCTTTTTACTTCAAAAATTTTGCAAAATTTGCAAAAATTTTATTAAGAAAAAAAATAATTTCAGGTTAAAAACTTGATTTAAAACTGCTAAGCAGAATTTTGTTCAATGAAAGCATAAATGCGGGTATTAGCTATTACGTTTGAGGATTAGAAATCTTTACTTTTACTACAGTTAGTTAGTTTTAATTATCTAAATTAAGTATCTTAACTACACCAAAAAGGCGGTACATTTTTTAGACATAATTTTAATTCACATTATTTTTTGTTTTTTAATTTATATTTTTTTTTTAATTGGTTCTGGATTTTTTAAAATAGTTTTTGAATTTATAAAAAGTGTTTGAAATAAGCAATCCACTGCGCAGACAAATCGACTTCATTGAAAGAGCGCGTGTTGCGGGTAGCCACCTTTAAGTTGACTCGTTTTTTCACTTAATATATTATTATTAAATATTTAAAAACTATTTTGGGAAATGCGTTTCAACTCCAACTTAATTTAAAGTGAGCTCGATTTAAATAATTAAATTTTTATTGGCATTTTTAATGCAATAAATAGATGACAACTCTGAAGAGATCATATAGAGAATGAGAGTACAACTCTCACGAAAAAATCGCTGCTTGAAATAATTGCCATTGTGACGTCATTTGAACCGCTATTAATGCTTTATTTTTGTAAATCTCTTTTGACATTATCTAATTTTTTGTACACTGTTTGAATTATTTCCTTACTTTTATATTTTATATTATATCACTACAGCAAAGTTTTTTTTTCGAATTTCTAATGACCCACGATGAATATTCATTTTTTTTCTAAATTTTTTTTTTATTTTTTTATAATATTAATTTTTTTACACTTTTTACATACTTGTATGTACATGTTCAGAACTATGATGAAATATTAGCTAGGAGAAGAAAGTAGAATTAAGAAAAAACTATGACACAGCCCTGTATATACGAATTTTAAGATCAAGAGATATAGAAGGAAATTTAAAATTTTTGATAAATAACAGATTAGTTAATTACAAGTCCAGTAACCAGAGATTATGCTTAATTATCATATTTAACCAATGTTTCACAAAAGAATCGCTCGACCGACTTCACATCAGCATCAAATTGGTGAAATACCAGTTCCGTCTTGGCACTATCACCGCTTTTTGTGAGTAAAAGCCAAAGTTACCATATGATTTTTTTATGAAACTAAAAAATCACACTTAATGAGTATACGAAGCTCATAATAAGTCTTACAGTTTAAATTTCTTATTCAAATTTAGCAGCGCTAGATTGAAGAATTATATTATCATAAACCGGCACGCGGTTCATTGTTTCGAGAGCAAAACTATTAATAAAAAGCTTTTATAATCGTGAGATACTCCCTGCTGAGATCTGTCTTAAGAAATTATGATTATAGATTCTTCGATTTTTCGATCTTTCTTCTTCTTCCCCCTTAGCGCGACAATCGTTTCTTTTCTTCATCGAAATAGGAATCTTTCTCAACCTTTGCTTTCACTAGCGATTACTGCATGGAAAAATTTCAAAGCTCGAACACGATTACTTGCTTTAAATACGTAAAACGTGTTGTACAAAATTTTAAGGAAAATTAAGACCATGTATTTATGAGACTCTGAGAAATCGACTACCTCAAGGCAACCTGGTTTTCCCAGAAGCTAGGCGTTCATAGCGTGAAAAATGTGCACTTCTCTGTGTTACCAGCCACATTGAAATCGAGACATCTTTTTACTTACTTCACCTATATTTTACTTCATCATGGTTCAAATTTTTTCGAAAAATATCTCAAAGAACATACTTTTGATAACTAATATTAACTGCCATTTCTCTCTCTTGAATTTAAACACTGCCAATTTATTATTATAATTTCATTTCTTTTTTAATTTACTTATTTTATTCTCAATGCTTTTTTGGTATCTACTGTTAGTATTTTTATATTAAATATATTTCAAAATCGAAAATAAAAATTCTGCCACAGAAAAATTTTGGTACTGCTAAAATTTCAAATTTTAGAAATATTTTTTTCCTTTTTTTAAAAAAAATTCCTTTCGAATAAATCCTGTACACCACCTGCTGTGTTCATTTTTCTTTTATTTTACCACATAATGTGAGTAGTGTGAGAGTAATACCAATACTAAAAAGTAGCGAGTGAGCCGTGAAATTTGCGCACTCTTTCAATGAAGGGTAAAATTAATTTTGAAAATTTTAATTAATAATTTTTTTTTTTTGGCTAGAAAAGGACCTCAAAACTTTCATTTAACAATTTTTGGTGCTGGCTCCACAAACAAAAGTAATTAGCGAGTAGCGAGTTCGGATACTAGTTGAATCAAATTATTTAACTCATTCAGTAGATGCTTTTCGTTGAGTTGAGCTGAGTTGAGTATTTTCACTTGATGAGTTGCGTTGAGTGAATATTGAGATATAAGTGAACTTTTTAAGCCAAACAGAGGTTCATATACATAAATATAGATATTATTTTTTTTCAAATATACATAGATACATATTTTTGCAAACAATTAATTATCTTAACGCCTCATTTAAGGAAATTTAAATATATAATTTTTCTTTTAATAAAAAAACATCACAAAAAATAGTGGAAATTTGTAGTTAAGTTAAGTGAGATAGATGAGTAGGTAATGAGGCAAATGTGCAAGCAAAAAACAAACACTATGAAAAACAATTTCAAACAAACAAAAAACAAACAAGGTAATGCAAGAACTTAGTAGAAAAAAAAACAAAAAATTCAACAAATCAAATGTTTTAAAACCAAAATTAAATTTAATATAAAAAACGATAAACATGAAAGTAAGAAGAGGAATAAACAAGAAATAAACAGATTTGGTTTCAAAAAATTACATGCAAACAATCAAAATAAATGACAAATTTAATGAAGTATAAAGAAAAACACCAACAACAATAGCAAAAGCAGCTACTACTGCTAATTATAGAAACATGAAAACAAAAGCAAATACAAATACAAATAATACAAACTGCAAAACTTACAATAGTATTACAGCGTATAACTTTTTTACAACAACAAAACCACAAATTTTTCTGCAGAAGAAAAAGAAAACTTTTCATAAATATATTTTTCTCTTTTTTCATATATATTTTTTTTTTACAAAAATTTCATTACTTGTGTTCAAAACAGCAACAACGATAGCAAACAATATAGTACATATACATAGATCTACATAAGCAGTGCATGATGCAAAAAGTTGCAAGAGAAAAAACAACACCTGAAATTTCATAATTTTAATGAAAATAGTTAATTTTTGCCGTTCATTTATAGCAATACATACATACAGTGTATAGAAATATTGTTTTTTTTTCTAAGCAAACACAAATAGTAAAGAGGCAATGTACAAGTTTTTTTTTACATATACAAATATATACATATTTACAAATTACAATTATTACAGTAATAATTTTATTCATGCATATTTACATACATACATACAGCAGTAAGAAATAAATAAATTAAAATTAGCAACAATTGTAACGCAATATAGCAAATTAGTAATAGAAAAGTTAAAATATTTTTTTTTTTTCATAATTACATTTATAATTATACACATGCACACACAAGCAGCAAAGAATGTAAAAGTGGAACAATAGAATTTATTTATTTTTAAATACAAACATTTTTTTTTCAATTCAATTAAAAAGTGGTGCTTAAAAATTATAAAAAAATCATTAATTACTTAAACAATATTAAAAATAATAATAAACAAATTTATTGATTTAAAAAAAAAATATTAATTTTTTATGAAATGCTGGTTTTTCATTAAAAAAAAATAATGTTTTTTATTGAAATATTAAAAAAATTAAACTTTTTTAATGAAAAATCACTAGTTATTTCTAAAACGCAAAAATAATTATTTTATAATCAAAAATCATTAATTAACATAACAAAATATTTGTTTAAAATAACATGTAAAATAATATTTAAAAATTTTTTTTCTTTTTTAAAATATTTTTTTCCATAATATTTTTACAAAACACTAAATGTTTGAATAATCAACCGCCGCTGCTAAATATGTTTTTCAATATTTATTTAAATTTCTTATAAAAAATTTTTATTTGAAAAATAATTTTAAAAAATAATAGCAACAAAAAAATATTAAAAATAGTTAATTTTAAACCAAAATATTTTTCATCAAAATACATTAAAACAATTTAATAGGCAAAGAAAAATGCATATACCAACCACAACAACAACAGCAAATAACTGTGATTATACAAGGAAGCAAGCAAGCAAACAATTAAATAGGAAAAATAGCAAAAAATAGTAAAATATTTATTATTACCACAAACAAACAAATAAACAAATAAACAAACATAAGCATAAATAGTAAAATAAATAAATATACAGCAAAGCATGGTTGCAAAAGCAAATGATGCAATAAATAGATAATATATACATATTTAAAGGTAATGACGCTACACCGTAAAACGGTTTTATATATTTAAATGTTTTTTTTTTTTATTTAAATTTTAAATTTTAATTTATCCCCTTTTTAATATTTTATTGTTTTTAATATTTTATTTTTTTTTAATATTTTATTGTTTTTTTTTACCTAATGATTTTTAATTTTCCGAATTTTTTATTTATTTTTTTTTAATCAGTGATTGTTTTATTTTTTCATATTTAACCTACTGTTTTTAACATAATTTTTGCACATAAATTTTTTTGACCAT